CAGACAGCTGAGGATCCGTAAACAGTAATACAGACTAAAATTATTTTAACATTTGTATTCAGTACATCACCTGCCTATGCATTCCTTGTTCACTTGAGAAGCATAAATATTTAATCTAAATGTGACTCCCGATGCACACATAGGAAAATAAAGGAAGTGACAATGTCTTAACTGTCCTGGACCATTATCAAGTCATGTAAAGAGTGGTAGAGGGTAGAGAAAGTAAATATATAAGGTAAGACTGTGAAGTGAAAGGTGAAAAAGAGTCAAGTATACCATAGAAGATAATGGGAATAAGTAAAACTGCAAAAGGCCTAATGACAAAGGGAAAGAAGTGAAATAGAGACAAAAGAGATAGCAACATAAGAGAAAGAAGAAAAGAGAGCCTAGTGGAGCTAAAGCTAAGTCAGATCTCATTTGTTAAGAATATTGGAGTGTTTACTATGTACTGAGAAAGGTAAGAGTCAACTGCAACAAAGATTCATGTTGAGCATGTTGTGTATGAGGGGCGATTCGACAAGAAAGAGTATTGCCTTTCTTAGTATACTGTATGCTAGTTAATTACTCTAACCTTCTTAACAAATGAGATCAGAATTAGCTTTAATCCCCTTTAACCTCCCTTTCCTTTCTCTCTCTAATGTTGCTTTCACTTTTGTCTGTATTTCACCTTTCCCTTCTCCATTAGGCCTTCTGCTAAGGAGGCCTTTGTGTTCATTCATCTCCTGAAAGTAACTTCCTTACCCTTTCATTCATGCCACAGCCCTCAACCATTGAACTGATCGTTGGTCGAGTGTTACGAATAAAAACTGCGTAGTATTAAGTGTATCTTATCCTCAAGGCTTTCCTCCCTATTACCATAGGTGAGAAATGGCTCTTGCTATATTGGCCACAGATGCTCAATTCATGGGCACTTAATGGAACAAAAAGCTGTACTTTATTTTTCCAATAGCATTGACCCATTTACAGTCTTATACACCATCATAGATGTCCCGATTTACAGGATGATCCCAAATCTTAATTTTCCAATCCTTGGTGAATCTGATATTTATTACATCACTCATCATATGTCTTTTTGTTCTTATATTAGCATCTTGAGTGATGTTGAGGGCTTGTTGACTGTTGTGCACCATAGATGGTGCCTAAGGTCTTCTTAGCTTGGTGCCTTCACTTGATAATTATTTACTCAATCTTTCTCATACTCTAAATGATGAAGCATTTGCAAACATTTTCATCTAAAAATTCAAAATATATAACAATAAACAGCCACACAAACTTCAAATGATTGTGAACATCCTCAAGGCACTGCTTCTCATTCTGATTACCTTGGGTTGGGTGCTCTCCAGGAACACGAGTGTGTTAATAGATCTGTATACTGTAATTTGTTAGTTGTCACTCTCTTTTTTTTCTTACTTTTTTTTATGGGAAAAGTGGCAAAATGTATTTGCAGTTCCAGTTTCCCATGATCTTGGACTCTGACTTCCCTCATGCTATGCACGGACTAGTTGCACACACTCGTCCCTCAGACCATCTGTTTGTAAAGTAGCTGCTGGTTGCTGTCTGCCTCTTAAGTCGTTCTATTTGATTCAGCTATTAAAATTTAAGATTTGCAAAAACCCTTTTAAAAGAAGATATGGCACCTTAATTAATGTAGTGTACTTAAAGATTAATTTTGACCTTTATAATAGTTTTGTGTATTAGTACCTCTATTTTTTTATCAGTTTCAAAATCAAATGTGGTATTCTTGCTTGTGTTAATTCAGCCTTGGGTTTGGTTTATGTAACTTTCATGAACGCATTCATAGTGTGGATTAATGTTGTTTAAAGTAGGCCTCTGTATTATAAAACTAATAATTAAGATTTTCAACTGTCCCTTCCATATACATCACTTTCATGCTCAGTAGTCCATTAATGCTTGCAAGAAAATTTGTTTGATAAAGTATAATTTGATTCACTGATCACATCACTGATTTTAGATTAAGGATAACATCAGTTTTCTTTGATCCAGTATGGTTTTAAAGCTTAAAAATAATTTATTCATATTTTATCTCACATTTTAGTAAAATTTCAATAATACATTACAGTATTATAATAGTTAATGAGGACTTCATAAGACAGCTGTCAGTCATTTGTTCGTGTTTGATTAGCACTGACGTAAAGGAGGTTAAAGTAAAAAGGGTCCAAGATATTATTGCTGGTTCTGGGTTTCATAACCTCCCAAGCTGCTAAATGATCATTGGTGTTATGAGAAAGATGGATTGTATGGCCAAATTTTGTTTGGTATTAAAAGTGGTTTGTGTATTATTTGTTTCCTAGTGTTAATTGTTTGGAAGATATTGTTGCATCTGAATAAACAGTTAAGTTTTAATTTAGGTTCCAGGATTAGTATAACTCAACAAGCAGAATTTCATGGTAAGTGCAAACTCTGTAGAGAGTGGGTATGTAATTTTTTTTATAGTAACATTGTTAATGAAAACATTTTCAGAACATGGCTTAAGTATGGCAATACATGTTAACATATATCACAAAAGATGTGGTAAATAAAGCATTCAAGAACTATTCTCCATGATAAATTCAGCTATGTGCTCATTTGTGTTGTACAGTGGAGGACCTAATAAGTGTTATGAAACAAAGCCATCATGATGAAGTGATATAGCCTAATTACTTGACTACAACTGTGGGTTTGATCAATTTTCTGGGAGGACTCTATGGTGGCTCCTTGATGCTAGCTACTTGGATAGCTCTGCTCATTTAAACCCACACCAGGTCCTTGTGAGTCATTATAAGCCTATGAGGGGACCAGAGGCTAAAACCTGGCCCCCCTCTATAGACATGCAAGGAGCAGGGAATATGATATCACCCTACCCAAGAAATGGCTACCAGAAAGAAGAGTGGAGCCAAAAGGATCAGCAAGGTAAACAAATCCTATAAAATGAAAAAATATATATCCCAAACCCAGTAAAGCTCCTGGTTGTGAAGCAGTTCACCTGTTAGTTATACCTGTTCTCTGTTCTGTTTGAGTCATTTACTTTCATATTTGTTTATTTTAATATTTACATCACAATGCATGTTTTATGCTTTACTTCTTTATGTGATCCTGATTAACTGTTAACCTTAAACTACATGTGTCTACATTGTTCATTTTTGGATGTTCACTGGTGTTGCCATTGCCTAGCTAGAGTTGCCTATTTTATTGGGTTTGGGTGGCAGTCTCTGATAGGCCGGCATCCTGTGGTTTGTGCCTTGCCATTGGTAGTGCACAGGTCTTTGACTCCTCTGTGAGTTTGTGGATGGGGGTATTCAGGTTCTTTTTATATAAAAGTTGCACAGGGTACTGCATACTAGTTATACAGCTTGCCACTCATGCTCTTAACAGCTGCCTATGCTTATTAACTGTTTTTTATGTTTGTATTTGGCAGTGGCCCCAGTGCATGGTATTTCCTGCTGGTCAATCCTATGGGACCTCGCAAGCCCTTTGCAGTTTTCATGGTTTTTCTCTGAAAGGGCTGAACAGTTGCGCCCGAAAGCAAGCACCATGATAGCTCCACATATATGTCACATCAGCCCTAGGAACACCTTATGATATACTGGACTTGTATCCAAGATTGACTATGTAATGCATGAGTTATGTAATACATGTGATGTAACTAAAACTTGAGGTTGTAAAAGCATCTTAACACTATTGCACTCTTCGAACGACCCTCGCGTCTGATTTCTTTCTCTTGAATCCGAATATCGGACATGATGTGGGTCCGATAAAGAAATATTTGTATAAAATTCATTTATTATCCGATCGACTTCGGCATAGTTTCAAAATGAGCGCCTTTAGAGTGTGCCAAATTTGATACCAAAATGAAAGATGTAACACGAAACTTTATGTCAGAACACTTGAAAGATTATAAATATGTTTTCCGTCAAAATTTTAAAATATTTGTTAAAATTCTATTTATTGTGCTATTATTATGGGACTAGTTTTAAAATTTGCGCTTATAGATTGCGAACAATTTGATACCAAAATGAAAGACGTAACACAAAAATTTATGTTAGAACACTGGAAAGATATAAATACTTTAGTGATAATGTGGTTCACTTGCGGAGCTTCAGGAAACCATCATTCGACTCCTCCAGAGAACACGTGTTGAATGTAATAAAAATACCTCTTTCTGGTTAGGTCTCTGTGGCTTCCTAGTCCCTTACCTTCCTACCACGTACATCGGTTTGTAATCTACAGCTCTGAACTGAGGTGTGTTGATGTGGGAGCCTAATAATCCTGGCGGTGCTGCCACCTGTTGGTAGCCGGCTGTAACTAGAAGGTTTTGAACTACTGAGTGTATTGTTTGTGGAGTTCTTTGCTGCTACACTTCTTGTTTCTCTGTGAATCCTGCACATGTCTCTTTTTGCTTTGCTTGCTTTCTGGATGTTTTCTATTTGCGGGTGATCATAAAGAATCCCCAGCTCCCAGCATCTCTGTGAGGGGCCAGGTTCTGATTCTGGTCTCTGGTAGGCTATACAGTACAAGACTTCTTGGAGTGATGTGACTCGTATGTGTGGAACTATAAGGGTGCTTACTTCAGGGAGCCACTGAGAACCAACCAAATAGGCATTTCATTACATTTAATGCTAGTGTTATGAACCAGCTGTCTGATTCTTCCCTCATTGAGTTTGAATCTGTAGGCTGGCCATCGGTCCTCTTGTGTTCTGATGGCTATCCATTACTACCTCTGCTGCACTGCCTGTGGGTGGATTATCCCATCCATCCTGGTCTTTCTTGGTCTTGGTGATCAAGAATCCTCACCTTCATACCTCTCTATAGAGAGGGCCAGATTTTGCCCTTTGGTCTCTGCTAAGCTTACAATGACTCAAAAGGGCCTGGTGTTATTCAAATTGGGTGGCGCTATCCAGGTTGCTACCAACAGGGACGCACTGAGGACCCACCAAAAAAGGTTACACTACCACCATTACAGTTAGGTTGCTGCTCACAGTTTAGAAAATAAAAATTAAAGTCATCTTGATAATCATGGAATGTTAAATATTTGCATAAAATATAAATTATGTACAGTATAAAGGAATAATTTAAGTATATAGTAGCTGATTCAATAGTTTATTTAGTTAATGAGCATATTGGAATCTGGATAAGTAAGGTTTAGACATTTGCTAAGGAATAATTTTACAACATGCTAGTGTGGAAAACAACAATCATGTCTCAAATTGTTAGCATGAGATGAGTACATCAACATCAGAGATCTTGACTACCCCAAGTGATCTTACAATGTCCATTTGTTTGGTAGGCAACGGTGATGAGGTCATCCCCATGTTGAGTCTTAACAACCACCTGCAATTGGGTGTGGATTACTGCTCACCTCCACCACCCACCCCTACAGTGGCAACCCCAACCACCGCCCTCTCCAATACTTATGTGGCGGAACCAACCGCCCGCTCCAACATTCATTTGGCGCCCCCTACTACCCTCAACACACTCTCGGTGCCCACCGCTGCCCTACCCAACAATTATAGTGCTGCACCCATCGCGGTTCCACCACACCCTCGGACCACCCCCCTAATAAGCGGCTCCCAAGTATCCTCTATACATGGGCCCCAAGCTATCACACAACGTGGGTCCCAATCATCCCCTTTACATGGGTGTCAGACATCCCCAGTACGTGTGTCACAGGCATCCCCAGTACGTGTATTACAAACTTCTCATTATCATGGCAGTCAGAGCAGTGTTGGGGAGAGCTACTCAACTAGAAGGTTTACCTATATAGAAGATTTGCAAGATGCATTACAAAGGGCAGATCTCCACGACGTAGACAGAGGAATACTTTCAGAAATCATGCTATCTTCCTCTAAAACTGCACGTCCTCCACAAATGAACCCTTCTTCTTCTACAAACACCCGTGATCGATCTCAAACACCCTCTCTCCTCTCAGCACCCTCTATCCTCTCAACACACATAACACGGTAACCTGGCGCCCATGTGATAATGCCCAACAGTGATGTCCCAATCTTCCCTCTTAAATGTAATCTCATTCTGTCACACAATCTATATAATATTATAGTCTAATGTTTTTGTCTTTTACAACCCTACCTCATTGAACCCATTAGACTATTACCTTGCTATAGCTTTTATTTACAGTTATCTCTGTCATTGTTGTTTATTCCCAAATTTTAAGTACAACATTCATATCAATTGTTATCATAAGATGTGTATATCTAATTCTATTTGCTTATACTAACTTGTGAAAAACATTCTAGATAAGCTGCACCAAATGACATGCAATGTTTCCCTCTCAAAACCAAAAGCCACATTATTCCATATGTTAACCATAACGTGAGGTACTCAACTGATTCCTGCAGCTGTGTGTGAAACTCAAAAGCTGTATTAACTGCTGCCTCCTATTATCCCCCATGCAACAAATGATTAATTTTAGTTTTCTGTGACCCAAACTGTACTTGCTGGTCTTTTCCAGCACCTTCAGAACAAACAGCAGTAATTGCTGTTTATATATACAGCTGTACTGTATGTGTGTGTGTGTGTGTATACAGCTGTATATATATATATATATATATATATATATATATATATATATATATATATATATATATATATATATATATATATAATATATATATATATATATATATATATATATATATATATATATATATATATATATATATTATCCAATATGTAATAAATATGATTTTGTTTTATTTTCTTTCCATATGCATGATGTCCTTTAGTTTAGTGTACATTGTGTAAATATTTAAGTATATTTAAGTAAGTGTGTGATGAAAATATTTATTGGTTTGAATGTGTGTGAGTAGGGGTGTGCCACAGCCAGTTCTAACAGAGTACCTTCTTCCTTTACTCCTCTCTCTCTCTCTCTCTGTCTCCTACCCTTCCAGCGTTTGGTGCACTTGTTTCATCTCCAACATTCATATCTCCCGACATTCATATCGCAACATGATCGTTATGAAACCACTTTTGTTATTTTTAGAGTTTTTACATGCTGAAGAACTGCTAATTGTCACATTATTTTTAAACTTTCATCAGGACAGCAAAGTGACATTGTGACTAGTTTTTTTACTTAGTTAACTGTCTTCTTTACATGATTGGTGAATTATGTCAGTCCTTATGGCTATAAGTGACATCCTTGTAACTGCTAAAATCCTATGCAATCTTGTAAACTAATCACACTATGTGTTTGTTTTAGGTTCCTTGAATTTTGGTCATGTCTCCTTTCATAATTTTTTTTTTGTGAGAGAGCCCCTTGGGAAGTGTATAACCCAGGCGAGAGACATAGAAACAGCAGTGTTAAGTATTGAAAAACAGTCTGGAACTCTTGCATTTGGTGTGAGGTACATAATTGGATGCTGTACGCTAAAGTACAACTAACAAACCCATTCTTACTTTCTTATAAACAATGGGAGGGATATCTAGATATATTCGACAAAAGCACAAGTCAAAAACAAGAAACCCTAATCTACATGGGACAAGAAATACACCTTTGGGTACAATTTCACAACAGAGTTTTACTGAGCAACACAGGATTATTTTACACTGACTAAATGTGGGGGCACACTATTAAGTACTAGTATTGTTGAGATACAGAGGGATACTTCTCAGCAAACATAAATATTAGGAGTAAATAGACTATAGGATCCACACCAACTGGGATGTAAGGTTGCCACAATACCCTAACCTTTCTTGGTAATTACAAAGGTGGTATGGATTTTAGCAGTACAATGTTCTGACACTTAAGCACTTTACAAATGGGGGGGACAAAGTTGATGTGGTAAGAGCACGTGTTACAGAAAGCTGAGCGAATAAATCAAAACAACACAAAACTGTCCATCCCTAACTAACACAGGGACTGAGCACTGCAATAGCACGTATGGGATACAAGTGCACTTATTGTTATTGTAGGAGACCGCCACACGTCACATACATGACCAGCGGACTGTTCTCCAGCCCTGCCCAAAACTAAGTGAATGAGACAGATAGCACATCTGTGTCCAACCGCCAGGTTCCAATAATGTTTCATACACATTTGTATCTCCCAATATTTCCTTTACATGTCTTATAAAGTTCCAGGCTGTTTTTCAACATTTAACACTGTTGTTTCTGAATATTTTCCAGCACTGAAAAAAACTTTTTAAACATTTATTTTCTTTGCTGTTTACATTGTTCTGGGGATGACGCTTTCCTGCTGTGACAATGCTCTGCGCATGTGCAGGAACTGACTATTGTACTGGCGGGGAATCTAAATGCAAGAATTCAAGTTTTTCAACATTTAACACTGTTGTTTCTCTGTCTCTTGCCTGGGTTCTTTCCCAAGTACCTCTCTTACATTTTATATTGATACTATGTATTAGTAAAAAGAAATTATTTTAATTTTCTTCAGTAAATAAGAGATGTTTTTAAAAGCTGATAATAGGGAACTGATCATTTTACCAATTTCTCAAGAACTATTACAAAACAATTTGAACATTAGTTAACTTCTAAACAGATAATAGTGTAGTTTGATAAAACAACTTTTGGCATGACCACTGCTGCCTGAGAATCTGAGACAAACACCTGTTTTCTGAAACTTCTTAGCTTCCTCTGATCTTGGTCACAAATCTTACTCACTTCCTTCACAAAAGGTCACTGAGCATCTAGGAGTGTTTCCTGCACATGACTTCTTGGGTGTCTTTCACCACTCACCTGCTTCTTTCAAATGGCTCACACTGTAATCTAATAAAACTATTGACTAAGAGTATTCTCTCTGCATCCTCTACTTATTACTCAGGTTTGTTCACTGTTGTGAGATTTCTCTTGCCAAGTCATGTTAGATTACAAGCGAGCCTGTCTATCTCCCATTTTTACTGACATTCACTAATATTACTTTTTTCAGGCAACGATGCCCCTAATTCCACGACTAATGGTACATCTAAAGGTAGTGACAGGCCCTCAAACAAAATAACTGGGTTCTAGAGGTCCAGCGGCCACCAACCCACCATGACAAGCTGTTGTCTGTGTGTGTCATGAGTTGTGGGCTTCACAAGGGAAAGTAAATGGTTGTTTTATACCATATGGTGTTGTAATTTGGAATCCACAAGACTTCCCATATCACATTCCTTCTTGGACTTGAGTTCGTTTATGTAAGATTCCCTTGTGGAGAACTTTCCATGTGCTCATACAAGGACACTGTCTTTTCCCAACGGTGGCTTGCAAGTGAGTTTGGAAATAATATTCATTGATGAACTCTTCATACCCATACCACTATTTCCTACCGTGAACCTTCAACCCTACCAAGTACTGTGCTTACTCTTTAAAAGTACCATGAATCCTGTAAATGTGCTATCCTTGCTTTAAAAGTATTGGGCTCTAGCAGAGTTATTTGTACTTGCAAGAAGTACTGTACTCACTCTAGAGGGATTGCGTTTCTTAGAAGTATTGTACTTTTCCTAGAATAAACGTAGGCCCAATGTGCTTTACTCCCCTTAGGTGAACTACAGTCTCTATAAAAGCCCCACACTTTTCTAGTAAATTCTCTGCTTGTCTTGTAAGTACTGTACACTTGGATGCTGGTATGTACTCTTCATAAGAGTACTGTACACTTGTCTGATGGTATGTACTCTTCATAAGAGTATTATACCACTTCTCTAATTACTCTTGTGGAATGTTCTTAAGAGCACTGTAATCTCCTTATGAGTACTGTAGTCATCTTGTGAGTATTGCATCTGTTGCGAGGACTTTTATTTTTCCTGAACAACTTTCTCTTTTCCCTGCATACTTTTTTTCTGTAAGTACTGTACTTATTGTGTTAGTGCTATATTCATATGAATCATGTGCCCATTACGATTTTTCACCTTGGTCATTTCTCTCGAGTATTTTACGTTTCCTGTTAGAACTTGACGATTCATATGAGTACTATGCTGTTGTAATTACTACTGTATATTCAGCCTTGTGAATACTGTACTCTTTGTGTGAGTAACATAATCTGCATGAGAATTATAAGACATAAACGAGTACTATACTATGCTTCTGTGTGAGTATTGTACTCTTTGAGGATTGTGTTTGTCAGGAAAGTATTGTTCTTAGTATTGGCTAGTACTGTTCTCTTTGAGGCAACAGCTCTTACTAAGTAGGAGCCTTGCATTCTCGATTGCTGTTATGGTGTCGTCTTGATGCTCTTGGGTTCGAGTACAATATGCTCTGGATTGGGGGTGCATTGTGCTCTTATTTGAGGATGCACTATACTCCTATTTTAAAACACAGTGTACTGTCAGTACTGTACTCTCAGTTGGGAGTACAGTGTATGCTCGATTGGGAGTACAATATGATCTTGGTTGGGAATGTAGTGCACTCATTAAATTACATGTACTAATGATGAAGTTATGTACATGTACTCTTAAATGGGAGTAGTAAGCTCTTACATGGAATTCATTGTGTTCCCAAGGGATACCGTGTGTTTGTGATTAAGAGTACAGTTGGATCTTAATTTGAAGTAGGGTTTGTTTTTAATTTTGTATATTGTTTATAATTGGCAGTTTAGTTTTATAATTTTTTGAAGTACTATGTACAGTGGTACCTCAGTTTTTTAATTTAATCCGTTCCCAGAGACAATTCGAAAACTGAAACAAATTTTCCCATAAGAAATAATGTACATTGAATTAGTCTGTGCCACACCCCTAAAAATATTACCTAAAAAAAACATTTTATACAGAATAATACTCTTAGGTACCTTACCTTTATGGAGGACTCGTATTGGCATATGGAAGACAGTGAGGAGGGGAAAGGAGGAGAGGTGTTAGTGTTTAGAAGGAGAGTCCCCTTCCATTATAACAGCAGTAATGACATTTCTGGGGTACTCTCTCTCTCTCTTACGTTTTGCAGGCATACAACTAGGACCTGGTTGTGGCTCACTGCTTTCTTGTCTTATTAAGAATCCGTCTATAGACACTTATTTTCCCTACATTTTAACACTTGTCTGTAGTGAGACATCACATTGTCTCACTATGAATGATCTCTTGTTTTTCCTCTATTATCATCCTATTTTCTTAGGTTGAACTTTACCACTGACTTTCTTGGAATCCATGGTGTGATATATAAATAAATAAGAACATAAATAAGAACTTTTATGCTCTTATTTAGAAACAAAAGAAGCACAAAAACAATGAAAGTCTTCACATAGAATTGAAGCACGGTTGTCACTAGGTGGGAGACACTGGTAAACTGAAGCACACATGTGCTCGGTCAGCCCATACGTGTATCAACAAACTCTAGCACCGAGGCAAACTTCAAGTACCGAGTCAAATAAATCAAAGAAATTGAGCTCGAGAACTGAAAAATTCGAAAACAGGAGCATTCGAAAACTGAGGTTCCACTGTACTTTCAATATGATGAACGATGTGTTCTTAACTTGAAGTATTAATCGTGTCATGCACCTGTAATTATGGGTATCAGATGCTCTCGTGAGAGTTTTTTGTTGCTTTATTTGGGAATAAAAAGTGCTCTCAACCGGGAAATTAGGTGTGCCCATGAT